CCCTGGAGGGGTTTCCAAGCTGTGGAGATGTGGGGTGAGGGACACGGGGCAGTGGGGACCTGGCAGGGCTGGGGAAATGGTTGAACCTGATGTTCTAAAGATTGTTCCCAACCAAAGCCATCTGTGACCTGGCCATTTAGCTAAGCTGTGGGATTTGGTTAACCAGTGATACTTTGCTGGGCAGAGAGGGGAGGATATTTGTACTCGGAGGACCTTGAGGACAGGAAACCTGACTTAATTGTTCCCACTGTGTCTTCCACAGGCTCTGACAGACTACAAGGTGGAGCTCAGGGACGACCCCATCATAAACACACACTTGGCTAAGCTGTATGATAATTTATTGGAACAGAATCTGATCAGAGTCATCGAACCCTTCTCCAGAGTACAGGTAAGTGCTTCCAGCAAACACACAACATGCTGGTGCCCCCATCCCCTGCTGCTGGTGGGAGAGGCACTTCTTCCTGTACAGAATAGGGGTTGGTCTCTTCTCACCCATAGGATGAGAGGCAATGGGCTGAAGTTTCCCCAGGGGAGGTTTCAGTTGGATCTGAGGAAGAATTTCTCTCCTGGCAGAGTGGTGAGGCCTTGGCCCAGGCTGCCCAGGGAGGTGGGGGAGTCCCCAGCCCTGCAGGGGTTCAAAACACGTGAGGAGGTGGCACCTGGGGACATGGTTCAGTGGCCATGGGAGTGTTGGGTTGATGGTTGGATTTGATGATCTTAGAGGTCTTTTCCAGCCTTAGTGATTCTGTGGTTCCATATTGCTCCTTACTCAGAGCTGCCCAGCACTTCCAGAGCCCAGGGGTCATCATGTCCAGCTGGAAAATGTTGGGGAGAGGGCTGAGAGGAACTTTTGAAAATCCCATTCCAGAGTCATTGCCCTTTCCACCTGTTCCACTTGCACACCCTGGCAGGTGGCCATGCTTTTAGCACTGAAGGTAACAGTGGTTGGCTTTCCAGGGCCCTGACAGGCTGTGGGTAAAGCTGCAGTAGTCTTGGAGAAGAAATCTTATTTCATGTTTCAGAGTGAAATGGCTTTGGGTGTCTAGTCCATCTTCAGGTAAAATTGGCTATGAAATCTGAAGGACATGAAGCTCTAAAGCAGAGAAAGCCAGCCAGATGGAGATTTTTAGGCCAGCACATTTACAGATGCTTGAGCTGATCCACAGCAGAGCCCCAGACCTGTGTTGTGTGTCAAAAGTGCAGCTAAAGATTTACTGAACTGTGTTGGTCTCTCCTGTAGATTGAACACATATCAAGCCTCATCAAGCTCTCAAAGGTAAGAACAGCACTAGAAATCAGCAGTGTGTTTTCAGAGGGCAGAGGAGAGGAGCTCAGGTGGCAGTTGCCACTGGGAAGCAGATGTAGCCTGCAAGTGAGAGAGCAGCTCCCCAGTGGTTACAGGCAAATAGCACTCTTGGGAACTGAACTTGGACATGGGCTGTTCCCAGGAGGCACCAGCCTGGCTTCCTCCATGCTAGACTGTCCTCCCCTGCCTTCCCGGGGGCCTTGGCACCTGCTTTTGATCAGGGACAGCTTTTCCTCTGCTGCAGGAACAACTCATGTCACTGCCAGCTTGGTCCTCCCCCCTGACCTGCATTTAATCCTCGTGAGCCCCCTCGGAGGAATCTTTTAGACCCTTCATTTGCAGGATCCAGCTAATCACGTGGAAGTTTCATTAGGGCTGGATGCATCGTGTTGACTGATGCAGCAACTGCTGTGCAGATAATCCCACCCACATGAAGCTTTAGGGAAATCTACTGTAGTCCCAGCTGGTTGCATCCCAAAGTGCTCTTGCCCTGTAGCACCATTAAGGCCAGAGGTTTGGAAGCATCCTGAGCTTGGGGTTTATGGTTGTTACATCATCTACCCTCCCTAATTAGCAGCTCCTTATCCTCTGTCTGAGAGCAGCAGAGGAGCTGCCTGGTGGGGCTGTGCCTGGTGGTGGGCAGGAGGTCAGCTCAGCACCAAGGGGCTCAAGTGGCCACCACTTGCCTAAATACTCACTGGACTGAACTGGAATGCTCCCAACCCCCCAAAGAATGATGTCTGTATGAAAGGACAGGTACCCTCTCCTTGTGGAACAGGAGTGTGACATGTCCTGGAGCTCCTGGCATTGAAGCTGCCACTTAATTTTCTCTGTGAAATTAAGAGGTACCTGAATTGTCCCCTAATGCCCGTGGTGGTGTCAGGGCAGTGAGCAAGGAGAGATCTGTCCCCATGCCATGTCTGGGGTTAAACCAGCTGCTTTTAAGCACTGCTTACATCCTGCCAGGGCTCTTGAGTAGTGGTGCAGTAAAATGAATTTTTCTTTATGTGGTTCTGGGAGACTTTTGATTTTTCTGCTTCAATTTCAGGCCGAGGTAGAAAGGAAACTGTCACAGATGATCTTGGACAAGAAGTTTCATGGTGAGTCTGCATCCCTCAGTCCTGCCTGCCCTGCTGCCCAGGCCAGACTCCTCTTCCTCACCACCCCTTTGGGGCCCAGGCATCCTCCTTGGGCTGCTCTGCTCTGCTGCTTGGGGAATGGGTGCTGTGGGAAGAGCAGTGAGCAGTGGGCTGGTTTCTTCCTCTCTCTCTTGTTCCTGTGGCTCCATCTGCCACTGTTAAGCTCGACAGCTTAATTTCTGACAAACCAGCAATGGCTGTTCAGCCCCTTCTTGCTGTGGCTGCAACCAAGCACAGCTGTGAGACCCACTGGTGGGCTGTCTAGCAAAGGTGTGCTCTCCTGCCCTGGAGCTTCTGGCAGTTTGTGGTCACCTCTCCCAGCCAGTTTGTGTAG